AATTTTTTAAACTTAATACAGATTAAATTTAAAATTGGTTATTTTTAATTTTTAATTTTATAGTAAAATTTACTATTAATTATTTAGAATGAATTTTATTTTAGTCTAACCCTAACATTAAAGAATTAATTAATTATTATAATCAAGGTTCGTTGTCAAGTTTTTTGAATTCTCATATACATGCATCTTGATTTGTCATTCCAACTTATGTAACAGGGTTTCCCCTAGCGAGAGGTTTTTGATTGATTTGAACCTTTTAAAACTCTTTATTCTACATTCAACACCATCACTTGATAAGACACAAGAAGTGTTGAAAGAAAAATTATGTTATAATCTTCATAAATAAATTTATATATATATATATATATATATATATATATATATATATATATATATATATATATATATATATAAATCATTCATACAAAAACAAATATTTAGGTTAATGATTTAAATGGCCATTTAAATCATTAACCTCTATTTTATTTTGTATGAATGATTCATATAATATAAATTAACTGCACCTATAAGCAAATATATATATATATATATATATATATATATATATATATATATGAAGAAATATAGTCTTAAGATGTGCTATATTCATGGGATAAAGTGCTCAATATCAGAGATAGAGCGTGTGTAAATATAAAGTGAACATAAAGTCAACACTTAGAGGCAACAGTCTGTTTCATGATAGATGCAAGGTGTAAGTGTTGACTTCTATATTCACTTTTATATATATATATATATATATATATATATATATATATATATATATATATGAACACAGAAAACGAAAAATTATATGGTTCAATCCCCCAACTAGTACAAACTGTCAAATATTAATATCAGACAGTATTTTCTGAAGTTAATAAATAAACATTTTTTAAAAATAACCCTCTAAATAAGATCTTCAATAGGAATACGATTAAGATTAGCTACTCCTGTACCAACAACATGTAGAAAAGTATTTATTCGCACAATAACCATATTTTAAGAAATTTCTCTGGGATAAACAACAAACCTGGTATTGAGTCCTCTTGTAATTGTAGATCTAAAGCAAATTGTCCAGTAGAGGGCAAATGCAGATCTACCAGGCTCATATGTCAACTGATCATTTCCTCCAAAGAAAATCTGAATCATTATAATGTTTACATTGGAATTTCCACGGGGGAATGGAAGCAGATATTCTATACCTATAAGCACTCATTTAACAAAAACTAAACTAAAACACCAGAAGGCTCTTTTAAACAAATTTTGGGAATTGAAGTAGAAAGGTTTGAGCCCACAGCTAATTTGGGAGGTTATACGTTCCGTACTAATAGTCTTAGAGATAGTTGTGGCTAATGCTTAGAAGAAAAAATAGAATAATAAAATATAATAATCAAAGCCAATTATTAAATCAAAGAAATGAATTATTGTTAAAATGTCGACATGAAAACAAATTCAAATTTCCATATATTTTTAACTTAATTAGCTATTATATTTCTATAATATACACTCCCCTCTAACTCTTCAAATATCGAATGTATAACTAATTCTAATGTCTCTAATTCAACCCTCTGTAACTTTACATTATATTAATTATAATTTATAAACTTTCCCCTCCTCTAAGATCTCCCCAACTTCCTTTCCATTAATCCCAATCATCCTTTTATCTATATATTCTAAAGTTATTTCTAAATCCCTTTTTATTCCTGTTTTAATTTTGAATTAATATTTCATTCTACATATAACCCAAAATTAATGTAATATGTTTAATATTCGGGTTTAATGTTATATAACTTCTTCCCTTTAAGATAAATATCTCCCCCACTCCGATCTCAGTCTCGGGGTTGATATGGCAGCCGACCGATATCTTCGTCTGCCGAAATAGGCTATTTCTCATACGAGTTGATTTTGGATTATATATATATATATATATTTCGTTAAATATGTCAGACAAGGAATCTTTAATTGACACCAAGACATCCTTTAAAATGACTAAAGAATTGGTCGGAAGCATTTGGCAAAATGGACAATATAGACAATTTTTTCACTTCTTTATTCACACCAAACGGAAGAATGCTGGAAAAAACTAAATTATAATTAATTATATTTTCCGTGTCTGCCATGTTTAAAGTAATATGTTCAAAAGTTGCTGCCCAAACACACACACACACACACACACACACACACACACACACACACACACACACACATATATATATATATATATATATATATATAAAGAAAAGAACAGTCCGATATAATCCGGTGTTCTTATTGATATTTTTATTTTACAAAATAATGCTCAATGTAAATTTACAGAGCATTAATATTATAAATTAATTGATTTAAAATATGTTTTTTCGCTACACAGTTCTAACCATGTTTCAAAAATGGAAGCTAAAAGCTTCGAATTTAATTTTGCAATTAAATTAAAGACATTAGTTCCATTTCATCCTCAAGCAAATTTTGGAGTAACTAATATTAAAAGACAACGTCTGTTGTT